GGGGGGGGGGCAAGAACGCTGCAGTCAAGGAGACCACGGTCTTTGGAGATCAAGATCACTCAAGTAAAGTGATTAGAGATCACGTAGACATACAGTGGATGGCATTGACTAGAAGAGCCATAGATCCTTGAAGACTAAAAATCACTGTGGGCTGAACAAATGTGACATTATCATATCGAAGGGTCTTGAGTGAAGGGAAATTTGACTAGAGAAAGAGTAAGGAAGGGCATTGCAATCAGAGAGAAAGCAGAAGCAAGGGGCAAGGGCAATCATGTGGAGGCAGAAGGCAAGGAAGACCTGGCCTGCCCACAGTGGCTTGTTTTGGAGAACAGAGCAAGATAAGAGCACCCAGAAAGGTTGCACTTGAAAGTGGGCGAGCTGAATGATGCCCTCGATGGGAGGATAATGCCAACAGGGAAGTTCGTTCTTCTCCAGCGTGGCCAAAGTGAAGAAGCCAGAGCTAAGGGGCAGGCGGCTGTCCCCAGCTCCACAAGCAGTGCTCTCAGCTTCCTGCCCACTCCATGTCCTGGCATCTATCCCAGTCCATGCCAGGGAGGCTCTTTCTGTACAGCACGTTCTGATCTCTCAGAGCATCCCCCTACACCCTCACATATGTGTTGGTGTGAGCAGTAGCTCACTGGCTGGGCTTCCCTGTTTTCAACCCCTGAGTTGCGGGAACCAGTGACGGCAGAACAGGATAGAGAAGCGAGGAATGCCCTGTATTGAAGCTGCTTTGGACTAAGCTCAGGAGTGCTTCTCTTTGTCCCATGGCTCGCAAAATTACTGTCTTCTAGGGGTTAGCATTCTCTTCGCCAAGAGGCATGGGGAGCCCCAAGCCTCTGTTACATTTGTTCAAAGTTAGAGCCTGCCCCTTCTCTGGTGTCCCAAAGCAAAGTGTATGGAGAGATAATGCGAGAGCCACTCACCTGCCTCATTTCTGGAATGGTACCACTGTTTCCCCAGGAATACCTGTTGACTTCTTGCTGTGCCTCAAGTTAGTCAAGCACCAAGATATATTTGTCTTCCTTTCCCAGATCTGCATTCCTTTCTGTCCTCCACCTTCACGTCCCCTCCCTCACCCACACCTGCATCTCCCCAATCCCAACACCCCAATTCCTGTGCTATTCCTACTCTGGCCCCGGAGCCCAGTTCAGCTCATTAACCTCATCAGTCATTCACCTTATCTCACTTGCATCTTTTCTTGTATTCCTTCCCCTATTCTTTTACCCATGTCTGGCACTGAACAACACTCCCTCCTCTCTCTTCAGGTTTTGGAATCTCAAGGGAAGGAGGGAGAAAAGGGGAATGATGTGCTAAGCATTTTTCACTTCCTTATTTCCTCCCTCAGCTCAGAGATAGCTAAGGGGGCTTCAAGGGAAGAAAATGGAAGGAGAGGAAATGGTTTTGTAGCTCACAGTGGCTTATCAGGCACAGGGCTTGGAGAGGCCCGAGGTGGAAGTGGCGATGTGAGAGGTGAAATGACATCATGGACAGTGTGGGTTGGGGTCTCAGTGGAACCAGGTCTTGCACCCAGTTCTGTGGGTACGTAGACAAGACCAGTCATTCCTCCTCCTTCAAACTCAGATTTTTCTGGGCCAGGGAACTAGGTCTGCCTAAAACTATTAGAGAAAGGACAGAACTTTCATGCCCAAACATATAATTTTACAACCATGCCCCTGTAGCCCCAGCTCCATCAGGCTCACATCTTTATCAGACAGCCCAGGGGTGCACCAGGAGAAAGAGTTTGCCATTCAAGGGAGGGAAAACTGCCATCATGGCCAGTGGCAGACATAACAGCACCTGCACCCAGGCTTGTTGACAGCTGGAACTGAGCATGAGGGAAACTGAGTCACCAGCACCATCTGTGCCCTAGCACTTGGGGCCAGGAAAGTGGGATGGGGATATGAGGTACAGCTTGGACCCTTTCCCTCCTGCCTTCCCCAGCCTTCATCCTCACTAATGCGATGCACCCTCCCTTCTTTTACAGAGAAGCCACGAATGAACAACATCCTGACATCAGCCACGGAGCCCTACGACCTCTCCTTCTCCCGCTCCTTCCAGAACTTGGCCCACCTGCCCCCATCCTACGAGTCTGCAATGAAGAGCCACCCCAGCAAGTACTCTTCCCTGAAGAGGCTAAGTAAGTGGGCCGTCCCAGGTCTGTCTCTGGAGCCTTCGTGACATCCTCCTGGTCTCACTCCCTTGCCCTACACCTGAGGGACTGGTGTAGAGTCCCAAGAACAAAGAGTGAGGGTAGCATGAAAGAAGGCAATGGACAAGCTCCTTGTTTTTGTTCTTTGGGGCCTAAGCCTATTTCCCCTATAGCAGTGATGGCGAACCTATGACACGTGTGTCAGAGGTGACACGCGAACTCATTTTTTTTGGCTGATTTTTCTTTGTTAAATGGCATTTAAATATATAAAATAAATATCAAAAATGTAAATCTTTGTTTTACTATGGTTGCAAATATCAAAAAATTTCTACATGTGACACGGCACCAGAGTTAAGTTAGGGTTTTTCAAAATGCTGACACACCGAGCTCAAAAGGTTCACCATCACTGCCCTATAGATAGAACAGAGGTCATACAATCCTCAAGTCCACATCTCCCCAGAAGGCATGCAGGAGAGAACTTTTCCCCAGCCTTGCCCCATACCTACCATCTTCAAACCACAGGCCTTCTCACCCTCAAGATCTTGGAGTAGAGGCGGCCAACACCAGAGCTTTCTCTGAGTCCCCTCACAGAGACCTCGCTGTGGAAGAACCCCTAAACCACTGCTTCCCTAATCCAGCCAACACTGTCTTGAGAACCTGAGACTCCCCACTCTCACATACATATCCCATTTGATCAGTTGAGTCCAGTTCATCCAATAATCCCAGCTCTGCATTTGAGTCTGGAAGGCTCTAGGGATTGATGGCGATATGAGATACAGCCTGATTGGTTTAAGATGTTACAATGACTAGAAGATACGTGGTGGAGGAGCTCTTCCTTCCTACCTTCCCACCCTTGGAACTGCTGCCCCACTTCCTCATCAGTCTGTTTTTAGCACTACCCAACTGCAGGACTGAGTATTTGCTTGAAGCTATGGGTTAATCTACCATCATGAGTCCAGATCAGGTAGAATGGTGAGTTTCCATGGCTAGCAGAGGGGATCTTCAATGACCCGAAAACTTATGAATGCCTAGCCTGAGAGGATGTGTGGCTCAGGAGGCAGGACCTAGCCATTGGTTGCCCTCCGGGAACACTGAGGAGCAGTCAGCATTCCCATATTCTGCAGAGATTGAAAAGTCCATCTGTGGGAAGCCCCATTCCTAAAATTTGGGGCAAAATAGGTGTATGTATCCTGGGTAAGTTCAAGGTTTCAGCAGGCAGTGGGTCTGGGAGGGCCTCCTGCCTGGAGACCAGGGCAGAGCATCTGAATGAGGTGCAGATTATTCTGGCCTGCTTGATGTGCACATGACGGGTGTGTGTAGGCTTGTTTCTGTGGTGTGTGGGGGCCAGATACCCACCTGTTGGCTTCCTGTGCACGGGCTCTAACTCCAGAGAAAGTGTTACTCAGTTCCTAAGTTACCAATTTAGCTTTCTCATAAGTGCCTCACGGTTGGTGCAGCTTTACTCTAGTACAGCGGTTCTCAACCTGTGGGTCGCGACCCCTTTGGGGGTCGAACGACCCTTTCACAGGGGTCGCCTAAGAATGAGGAACTGTATTTAAAGGGCCAGAAGGTTGAGAGCCACTGCATCTAGCAGGAGTCTGGCTCTGCAACTCTGTCCCTTGGAGAGAGGCTCCAAGCCTCATGGGACAGCTGCCGGCTGCCCCCTGGGAGTTTCAGCAACACCAGGAGCCATTCTGTTGCAGGACAGGGGTGGTAGCAGCAGCACCAAGCAGGAGTTGGGGGCGAGGGCTTGTCCTCTGGGCTATCATGAACTCCCTGGGACTCGAGGAGCCCCCCGAACCCCCGAGCACTCAGGTGGGCCTCGACAGGGCCCAGCACTGCCTGGGAGAAGACTCCTGGCCAGCCCCAGACTCAGGAGAAGGAATCCAGTGTTCACAAGAGCCCGCGGGAGTCTTAGACGCGCAGCCCCCATCTGCCTGGGCTGCAGGATCCTAGCTCCGTCCTGGCTGCCGTGTGGTGTCACCTTGTCCCCCCAGCTGACTTCTCTCTCTGTCCTGCAGCCGACAAGGAGGCTGATGAGTATTACATGAGGAGGCGGCACCTGCCCGACCTGGCAGCCCGCGGCACCCTCCCCGTCAACGTCATCCAGATGTCCCAACAGAAGCCCTTGCCCCGCGAGAGGCCGCGCCGGCCCATCCGCGCCATGTCCCAGGACCGGGTCCTGTCCCCGGAGCGGCGCCTGCCCGACGAGTTCCGCATGCCCTACGACCGCATCCTGTCGGACGAGCAGCTGCTGTCCACGGAGCGCCTGCACTCCCAGGACCCTCTGCTGTCCCCCGAGCGGACGGCCTTCCCCGAGCAGTCCCTGGCCAGGGCCATCTCGCACACGGACGTGTTCGTGTCCACGCCCATGCTGGACCGCTACCGCATGACCAAGATGCACTCCCATCCCAGTGCCTCCAGTAACTCCTACGCCACGCTGGGCCAGAGCCAGACGGCGGCCAAGCGCCAGGCCTTCGCCTCGCGCAGACACAACACGGTGGAGCAGCTGCACTACATCCCCGGCCACCACACCTGCTACAGCGCCAGCAAGACCGAAGTGACCGTGTGACCCCCTGGACAGGCCCGGCGACTGGCGGAGCAGGGCGGGCAGAAGGGGCCTGGGGCGGCGCTTCTAGCCCCCTGGGCTCCCTTCTCTTGTTCCTTCTGCAGGAGGTGGGGGTGGGCTATCTTCACCGGAAAGCCATACTCCTCGGCACAGCAGGTGGCCTGGCACAGCTGCACAGACCAGGGGAGTCTGGGGGGGTGAGGAGCAGGACTAAGCCCAGTCACCCCCTTCCCGCCACCCCTCCCCACCCCCCCGCAGCAATCCTTCCAGTTCCACATCCTCTCTCCCTTCCTGGGGCTCAGCTGCAGGCCTGTCGGCTGGGAGGCCCTGGCCGGACCCTGGCGGAAGCTGCCTGGGTTTGAACTGGCCAGCGGGTACAGTCAGTGGCTGACCGAATAGGCTACTGGGTCTCATTTATTTACCTAGAACCGCACCACAGGAATCTTCTAGTGCCTAAAACTGCCTGCGCGCTCCGGAGCCAGGGAGCTGCTGTGTCCATAAGCACAATACCGATCTCCTCGGCCTGCTGGACTCGGACCCACTGAGTGGCCCTTCCTTTGCTGAGCCCCTGAGGCCCCACCCTGAACCCTGCCCCTCCCCCCAAGCCCTGGATGAGGGACCCCCCAAGTCCCTTTCTTCTGCTGCCTCCCCACTGTTGGGAAGCCTGCCCAGTTCCAGCTGCCTGCCCCACGCACAGGGTCCCCGCCCCTTTTCTGGGGGGACTTTGCCCCTCCCCTAGCCCCAGAGGTTTTACCCTGAATTCCCCGGGGCCTTGCCCCAGCCCCCTCAGAAGAGGGCATCTAGGAGGTGCAGGGACTGTTGGGACAATCTCCCTAGCAACCGGATTATCTCCACACTTCCTCCAGGCCTCTAGGTCTGAACTATGACCCACCACTCAGGCCTGCCTTCCCCTCCCCTACACTGCCCCCTGGAGGCTTCTGCCATGGCCAGACAGCTGCAGGTGGGGAGGCCACTGTGATGCCCAAGGTCTCAGGGGCTGCTGTTCCCATCATCCAGGGTTCCCCCTGTCTCCCAGCACGCAGGTCAGACAGGATGGAGACATGGAGACAGCGGCTTCTGAAGAGGGGCAGCCCCGCACCCCCTCCCCATCAAGGAGGGCGTGCGTAGTGGTCCTGCACCTCATCCACTCCTCCGTCCCCATCACTGCCCACCTCCTGACCCCATCTTGGTGTGGAATTTGCTCTCTGCCTGTTTCCAGTC